CAGATCTGGCAAAGGCATTGAATATTGACGAACGACGCGCACCATCAGCAACAACTGCACTATCGGAGAGTGTTGGACGTGTTGGCGGCATTTTCATAGGCGTGGGACAATTGTTTGGCGATCAGCCAAAATTCGACTGGATACCATTTTCGGATCGTTTGCATATATACAGGTAACATTTCAAAAAAAATTTAGCACAGTCATTAATCTGTCTAAGTTATTAAAACTTGAAAAATTATTGGAAAAGGTAGTGTTTTTATAATATCCGTAGCGTATACGTTCCTAGCAATTCGGATTCAGTGATCGCAGTGCAGAAAAAACGGACTACGATGAATTCTGTGATAGCCACCATTATTTGGCTACACAACGCTCATAGTTAAGTTGAAATCTAAACCACTTATGCCTGAGGGTAATAATAATAAACAATGCAACAACAACTACAAAGTGTTTAAACTATTTCACAGTTGCATATAAGGGTTTATCTAACGTCATGAACTTATTTTCTGCAACTGCTTCATTCGCTTATCAATCGTTTTTTTATACTTATTATGTATATAAGTAGTCATATCCTCATATTGATAAATACATGTATAATACTAAGTATATAAGTACATACATCTGTACACTATGCATACAAGATTTTAAATGTTACATTCTATCAACGCTTTCATACGTGCACTTGTTTTCTTGTATTTCAGAGGTGTCCTGAATAGTTTCCCGGACATTCTTTCTACACATAAAGGGGCAATGCAAAAACGCAAAGAATGCGAACGTTTGACTGCTGAACAAAAGATGAGTAATGCTCAGATGACCGATGTAAATCGCCGTACCGATGTTATTTCCTATGCTGTAATGGCTGAAATGTCTCATTTTAAACAAGAGCGTGATACACATTTGAAACAGGCGCTAAAATCATTTATTGAGGAACAAATTAAATTTTATTCAAATGTAGTTAATAGACTTCAAGAAGCTTATCGTCAATTTGACTAACTTTGCTAATTGCTCTAATAGCTGATCCCTGAGCTTTGAACGCTGCTGCTCGTCGCTGCTTTGTACTGCACATTAGTGAGTGTTTGTGTGAGATCACGAAAAACAAAAAAAAAAAAA